GTCTAGTTGAACTACGTATTTGTGACAGTGGGTTATTGAGGTCCCACACTACTATTGTATTAGTCCTTGTATCATTTTTCATGTCCGTTAGTATTTGTTTTATATATTTGGGTGCACTAGTGTTTGGTGAATAGATATTTATGATTGTCATCTTGGATTGTTCTCTTTACAAGGATATAGTGTACTTCTTTGTCTCTCTTAATCATTGTGGGTTTGAAATCCAGTTGATCTGCAAAGGGGATAGCCACTCCTGCTTTTTTTGTGACTTTCATAGCATGGAATATTGTTTTCCACCCTTTAAGTTTCAGTGTATCAGTTTCTTTTTGAATTAAGTGTGTTTCTTGTATGCAGCATATTGCTGGATCTCGCTTCTTGACCCATTCTGCCAGTCTGTTTCTTTTGATTGGTGAGTTGTGACCATTAACATTGATGGTTATAATTGATACATATGGAGTTATCATTGCCTGACTTTTCCTTTTTGTTTGATCCTCTCCCTTTGCTTTTAATTTCTTACTTGTCCAGTGGATTCATTCTGCTCTTCTTCCTGGGGTTGTGATCCTTGTTGTGTTTTTCTAGGATTTTGTCTAAAATTTTTTGAAGTACTGTTTTGGTATCCATGAAGTTCCTAAGGTGCTCTTTGTCATGAAACTATCTTATTTCACCATCAATTTCAAAAGATAGTTTTGCAGGGTACATCATTCTGGGTTGGAGGTTGTTTTCCTTTAGGGCTTGAAACACTTCACTCCAAGCTCTTCTTGCCTTGAGGATTTGCATTGAGAAGTCTGCTGTGATCCTGATGGGCTTTACTTTGTATGTGATTTGTTTCTTTTCTCTCACTGCTTGTAGAATTTTGTTCTTCCGTTAGGTTACTGGAATTTTAACAATTATATGCCTATGTGTAGATTTTTTTGATCAAGGCTATTTGGAGTCCTATATGCCTCACTTATGTGTAGGTCAAATTCTTTCCCCCTGCTTGGGAAGTTTTCTGCCATCACTTCTGTGAACAGTTTTTTTATGTCATCCTCACTCTCTCCTGTTTCTTCTTTGACCCCAATCAGTCTTATGTTATTCTTCTTTGCATCATCTAGCTTCTGCTGGATTGTTTTCTCATGGTTCCTTATAATTTTAAAGAATTTTTTCTTTTCCTGGTCACTAATTGCAATCTTATCTCCTATATCTGAAATTCTGTCCTCACATTGGTTCATTCTGCTGTGTAGAGTTTTAATGAGTTTTTAATCTCCTGGAAATCTGTTTACATCTGTTTTATGGATTCCATTTGTTTCCTGTGTTGAGATTCCATCATGTTCCTCAGATCCTTCATTTTTTCATGTGTCCTCTCTAGATTTATTAATCATGTTTTGCACTATGGCCACAATCTATGCTATTTCTCTATTTGAGAAATTATTTCTGATTTTATTTTTTCCAGATCTTCTTTCTTTGGTAGTTCAAGGAATCCAGGTTGTTGAGTATCAGAGTATTCCCTCTAGTTTCCCTTTGGGGTTGCTCTAGGTGATCTGGAAATCTGGTTCTGAGGCTTGTTTATCTGTCTTTTCATTTTGATGGGGGAGGGGGTTCCTCATGCTCACACAGCTCACCTCCTCTGTGCTGGGAGCTGTGGCACACTGACCTGGTTGTTTCATCTGTGCTGGGAGCTGTGACACACCTACCCAGAAGCCTCCTCCACCCTGGGAG